GGCACATTTGCCAAGGGCTTTGGGTTCCAATAGCATCTGCTCTAGACCTTAGAGATGAAAAGCAACTAAGTCCGTGGAAAGTGGAAGAAAGTCCTGTGTAAGCACTGAGAGACTTTTCCATATACAGGAGCTGAGAGCTAAGCGTGCAGAGAAGGTCTAGTCTGTTCCCTCATTTTACTGCCCAGTAAGTAAACAGAAGCCTAGGGAAGCAACTGCCCAAGGGCATCCGGGGAGTGGGTGGCAGAGCTGAGACTCAAATCCAGGAGAGTGCGCTTTCCATCGTGCTCCACTGCTTCAGGAGAAACGACAGGGGCAGGGGACACCTGCCAAGCCTGAGGAAGGAACTCTGGGAGAAGGAGAACAAGGGGGGAAGACTGCAGAGATTCAGAGAGGAAGAAGGGAAGATGAAAGGCCTGAAGAAAAGTGAAAAGAGAGATGTGTAATCTCTTTGGGCAAAAGGAATGTCAGCCTCCATCCATTGTATTAACCAGTCGATTCTGACTCACGGCGACCCCGTGTGTGTCAGAGTAGAACTGTACTCTGTAGGGTTTTCGATGGCTGATTTTTCAGAAGTAGATTGCCAGGCCTTTCTTCTGACGAGGCTCTGGGTGGACTCAAAGCTCCAGTCTTTCATTTAGCAGCTGAGTGTGTCAACTGTTTGCACCACCCTGGGACAACCTCTGTATTAAGCATAGTTTAAAAAAAAGAAAAAAAGAAAAACAGTTGCTATCAAGTCATCTCCAACTTATGGCAACCCCAAGTGTGTCAGAGTAGAACTGTGCTCCATAGGGGTTCGATGGCTGATTTTTCAGAAGTAGATCGCCAGGCCTTGAGCTGCCCTTGACCCCTGCATTAAGCCAAGCTGATTGCCTGAGAGGTCACTGTGGCCCTTCCTCCTGGGACTTGGTGGACTCGAACCTCCAACCTTTTGATTAGCAGCTGGGCATGTTAACCGTTTGCACCCTCAGGGACTCTGGTAAGTGTAGTACTACCCATGTTCTGTTCCTAGTGATGACAGAAAAAATACAGTGGAGGAACACCATGATTTGGTCAGTGAAAGAAAAGCTTGGAATAGTTAGAAGCCGAAAAATACAGCAATCTGAGGAGCAATAAAGTTCCAGTCTGAACTCACACATCACGCTCCTGGCACTTATGCTGCACTGGTAGTCCCTGTTGCCTTGTCTGTGTCTGCCACTAGCTTAATAAAGTCATTGAGGGTGGGGACTATATTATTGACCTTTATATCTCCAGGGCCAATCACAGTACTGTGGCATGCAGTAGATGCTCCGTAATTGTAGCTGACCAATCAATGCATTTATATGTGTGTATATCTGCATATAAGGAGACTTGGTAGCACAGTGGTTAAGTGCTCAGCTGCTAACCAAAAGGTCGGTGGTTCAAACCCACCCAGTGGCTCGGCGGGAGAAAAGACCCGGCAATCTGCTTCTGTAAAGATTACAGCCGAGTTAAAACTGTAACTGGGAAAGCAGTAGCAGTCACTCCTATTAGCCGTGATGGGGGATGTTTAGTCACTTCTGTGGCCTGGGCAATATTTATGTTTTTGTCTGTGTTCAGATATGATTATGCAGTGGTCTTGTTTTTGTCTTGATCGATCATGGTCACAGAATGTCCTTGTATGATAATAATGTCCTATGAATCTGTTTATGTTCAACAGAACACCAGGGCCTGAGGGCCAGGCAAGTTTGTAGCAATACCAACACTTAGCTGATAGCACTAGGCCAGCTTCCGTGGAGGCAGGCGCTCGCTGCTTCTCTCTTTCTCAACGTGTCCATTTTGAGATGATCCCTGTTTTCCAACTAGGGCTTGGCCATCCAGTATCTAAATATTTAGACCCTCCCTGTACTCTGACCCAGTCACACCCATATGTGGAACCAGCCAGGCAGGGGGACGTCATCACTGGCTTGGGCTGTGTGTATCTGTGTGCGGTTTTGTGCACATGTGTCTGTGTCCGCCAGAAATTCCCTGATAAGATGGGAAAAGAGGCCAGAGGTGATTCCACCTCACCTCTGGGCCCAGCAGGGCTGCCCATCTTCCCAGAAAGCAAGGTGCTGGGATTAAGGCCCAACATCTCTAGGGCAGCAAGGGTGCCCAGCTCTAGGTGGAGTCAGAGAATGACAGAAGCCAAACTCCAGAGGAGCGGGAAGGGGAAGGGGTAGTGGTGGAAGGGAGGGGAGAGTTCCTTTGTATAAATGGGTCTCTGGAGAAGCTGCTGATTTTCCTTCAAGGAAACAGGCTGCAGCAGGTCACTGTGGGTTCCCCTCCCCAATCCCTTTCTGCTCTAAGCTTCTTGTCTCCAAAACAGGCCCTGTTGATTAGAACAACAAAATCACATACGTTGACCTCATCCTTCACTAAGAGGCTTAATCTGACCTCTTTCCAATCAACCAAACTTCCTTCCCTCAGCTCCATCTCTTCAGGACATCTCCCTCCTGCTATGCTCAGAGGTGACCAGGCAAATCTAGTACCCTTTATAAAGCGGTGTCAAGGTGCCACCTGATACTATTTGTAAAATGGCAAGGAAGAACAAGGTTGAGGACAAGTGGGTGGGCTCCAAACGCTTGATATTTTGCCAAAGCCCCAGCTCTTCTCTCCAGGGTGTGACTAGTCCTGTATTGCCCTTTGGTGTGACCCAGCTGATCACAGACTGGCTATCGAGGGCCAAACCTCAACCAGCACAGCTCATCTGTACAGTCAGAAGTCTGGCCCTGTGGTCCCTGGGGGCCTGGACAGACGAAATGCATCCTGGATTAAGTGGCAAGTGGTGGCGGGGGCAGGGGGGAGGTGAATGCCCTCCCATGAACAACCTGAACTTCGGAGAACAGAGCCTACGAAATGCAGGCTCATTTTTATAGTAAGCCCTGCCATTGTGCATCATCCAACCACTCAACCGAGGACTTGTTCAGCACTTTGCCAGGGCTTGGGGGTGGGGTGGGGCATGTGGTCCCCATCCTGGGAAAAACATAGTATCTCTCCAGGAGAGCTTACAACCCATCTGGGGAGAGAACACTAATGTACAGAGAATGAATTAAAGAGCAATTAAGTTCAAAGGTAGTAAGTGCATTTGGAGTTCAGAGATGAGAAAAATCAGCAAGGGCACTAGTCCATCTGGTACCACAAGGTAGGACTTGAACTGGGCCTTGAAAGATGAGTAGGATTTGGATAGGTAAAAGGGAATAGGGATGAGGTCCAGATGTGAAGAGCATGGACAGACGTTTAAGGGTGGCAGTGAACCAGGGGTGTGTGTGTGTGTGTGTGTGTGTGTGTGTGTGTGTGTGTGTGTGTGTGTGTATGTGTGTGTGTGTGTGTGCGCACATGCACACGTGTGTTTATGCACGTGCATATTGGAAGTCACAGGAAACGTCGGATGGGCCGAGTGTGCCAAGATCACGGAGGACTATGGGAGACCTGGGACTTGATATGGTTGGTGACAGGGAGTCACTGTAGTTCTTCAACAGGGATGGGACATGGAGAAATTGGTGTTTTAGGAGGTGATCTGGTAGCAGTGGTTGACTAAGGATGGACGCCCAGGTTGATCTCTCCATTCTTGGCACGCCCACAGTACTTTGTGTTTCTGTGGGCACACCTAACTATACTGTAATTATACATTCACAAGTCTGTTGTCCTCAGTGACACTAGGCATTCCTTAACAGTAGTGGTTATGCTTTCCCCATTTTCCTATTCTTGCATCTACCTGGCTCATGGTAGGCCATCAGTAAACACTGACTAGATGAACGGATCATTTAATTCTGAGTTACAATTACATACCATACAAGGACAACTGCCAAAGAATTAGACTGAACTGCACATTAATACTAGGACAATTTGATCTTCTTTTAAATGATTTGGGTCTTTGTGTCTTACCATCTTTGTGACCAGCAATTATTACTGCATAATAATTTCTATTTCACAGGATGCTAGATGAGTCTTCTGCATATGGATTTGGATATATCATGCATGAGATCACATCCCACTAAACCTACATTCACCTAGGAAGAACCTGGTCTAGTGCACTAGCTCGCTGTCTTCAAGTGGGGATTTGTCCTGCCCTCCTGGCATTAGGAAGGGGTTTCATCGTATAGCTGCAACTCCCTTTAAACAAACCCAATAGCAAAAAACCCAGACTGGGAGTAATTTTATCTTTACAAAAAGATTCATAGTAGGACTCTTGAAAGCAGTAAATATTTCCTCTTAATTGAAATGATTTGATTTTTAAAAGCTAAGTGATTAAAAATGCAAAAAATATGAGTTGATTTTCACAACTTTGATCTGTCTTTCCAGGAAATCATCTGTAAAGTCAGGTATGCCTATAAGTGTATTTTAGATAAAAGGAGTCAGGAGAGGGGAGATTTCTAGTTTGGGGGACAGAGAAGTCAAGCAATCATGAGCCCTCAAAGGGTCGGTCTCCAGGTTTGGCCACGAAGCTGCCTGACCTGCACCAGGTCTCGGAAGCCTTCTTTCTGTCTGCAGTAAAAGTCCTTTCTGCCCACTCCCATCCCTGCCCCTTGTGGGACAGGAGGCCACACAAAAGAGTAATTGCAGGTAAAGCAGAGTCTATTCCACGTTTGTTTGTTCATTCATTCCACAATGATTTACTAAGCCCCTACTAGGAGACAACCATGAGCCAGGCATTACATGGTTCCTGCTTTCAGGAAGCCCACCGACTAGCAGGGAGACCAGGAACAAAGACCAGCCTGAGCTCGACAGGGCCAGGAAAGTCTTCATAGAGGTAGTGAGCTCCCCTAGAGGGGTCAGCGGCCAAGCGTTGCAGGCAGAGGCCACAGCAGGTTAGTACAGGGAGGCCTGGAGGGGCGCGAGAGTAGTTCAGGGAACTGAAAGTAGTTTCGAATGGAGAGTGGGGAATACACGGTGGAGAAAAATCACACACCTTGCAGCAGCTCCCATTTGCGTGCTCTCTAATATGCATAGCTTTCCTCCCTTTACCTACCCGCCCACTCCCTTTAAAAGAGAACAGATTTTAATTTAGAAGAATCAGGTTTTATTTAGCGATGTGAACATTAAGAATTCATCTACATGGTTGAAAATATTCACAAAGGACTTGATCATTCACACTCATACACACAGAGAAAGTCTGCTCAATAAAAAATGCTGTGGTACCCATCCCATCCACTGTCAGGGACAGAGAAGAGCCTGCCCGTTCCACTGTGGGGCTTCAGTCTTCGTGAATGTTGAAGAGCTTGGCTACTTCATTGAGATCTTCATGTTGCTCACCGTCCTTAATGATCTGAGGGAGAGAGTAACAAGGGGTCACTCACTCAGTCTGTGTGCATTCAGGCCAGGCCCACACAATGGGGAAGCCTAGGCCAGTCCCCACATCACACTATGAGGGAGTTGTGGGAACGACTTTCTATTAACCCAACATGACCAGTGTGCCAACTCCCAGGCCACCCAGCCAAGTCCCAAGTCTAAAAGAAATGTTCCCGAGCCAAGACAATGCTTTTGTTCTGCCTAGGCACAATCTGACCCAGGTGGACAGTGCATATCAGGGTACCTGATGACGTCACAGGAACAGTTCCCAGTCTGCGCTTCCCATCTTTCTCTCAGAGCTTTGACAGGCACCTACCTTCCTTGCTATTGGCATTCGGTTAAAGATGTTCCACAGCACGATCCCCACCACCACTTTGTCCCTGAGGTAGAAGATGACACCTTTGCCGTAGTCCTCCCCTTCAACAGGGACCTGTGGGACTGCTGCGCTGCTTTGAGGAATAGTGATTTCTGAGGCCTCAGACTCTGTCTCGCTCTCTGATCGGATACCAGTCCCTGTGGCCGGCCCCCAACGAATAAATAAAGGTAACATTTCAGTTATTATGAGCTTAGAAAATTCTAGAAGGCAAGTGTCTTTAGAAACCTGCTTCAAGATTATTTGCTTTTCTATGTCCCCTCAATAAACAGTGGCCTTCTCTAGCCCCTCTCCATTGACAAAGCCAAGGAAAGTTCTTCCTTGCCAGCTCTTGGATACTGGGTCAGTCTGACCCAAAACTAGCCCCCCTAACTATCTAATTTTAAATTTATGCTATAGATATTTCCTGATATCTAGATTTCTTCAAACTGCCGAAGACTTGCCCTTACCCTCTGAAAAACATTATAGAGCTGCACTGTCCAATATGGTAGCAGCTAGCCACATGTAGCTATTTAAATTTAATTACAGTTAAATAAAATTTAAAAATTGCATTCTTCAATTGCACTAGTGACATTTCAAGTACTCAACTGCCATATGTGACTGGTGCCTAATGCACTGGACAGAGCAGAGACAGAACATTTCCATCATTGCAGAAAGTTCTATTGGACAGCGCTGCTAGAGAGACATTTTAAATTTTAGCTAAAGTGGGAGAAGGCAGTTTCCAAATGGGAGAACCCTAGTCAAGGAGTTTCCTCCTGGAGGAGCGGGGGGGAAGGGCAGTGTGGGAGGAGGGCACCTTGCCTTCCGAGAGCAACCAGGCTACAAGTAATAATGCTCAGTGGCCAGAGCAGTGACCTCGAGTTTATAAATGCCTGGGTTCCTCTCCTGGATCCACTTCCCAGGGGAAAAAGGTCAGAATTAAGGAGTGGGTTTATGTATTGCACTTGAATTACACAGGAAAAGGACCTACGTAGACATACATCTTGCTTGTTTCTTCTTAAAGAGCTACTTGCCCTTGAAACACCTCTGGCAAAAGGACACGGGTTAAATAACTTGCGCCAAGGTCAGAGAAGGGAGAGAGAGCAAGGCCTAGGAGTTAATGAAAAAGATGTGTGTGGGAGAGAAGTCCATTCCAAAAGAGGTGCCTCCCATCTAAAGAAAACTTGGCATTAAGATCCAACACATGGAATTAGAGGCAGCTCAAGAACTACTCAGCCCAGTTCTTCACTGCCTAGGGCCTGTGGAGGACAGCAGGTCCTAAGCTAATGTCTTCATTCCTAGTTCCTAGGATTAGCAGGAAGCAAAACAACAATACAATAAAAGATTTTCTTCATCACACAGGTCTTCCTATTCCCTAGAGACAAACTAAACAACAGAGTCATCCAGCCAGCTAGGGTCATCCAGAGGCTAGGACAGAGACCCACAGTCTTTGAGTCTATACCTGACCCTGGCAGATCTCAGACCACTAAAGAATGAGGGCTTCAGATGTGGTTTATTTTAAAGCACAACATGAAGACAGGCTTTCTCTGACGGTTCCCTCTGGCCAATACAGAAACCCCTTGTTCAGGACAATTCTGACCATTGCTTCTCAACACTCTTCCAAGAGAAGTGGTTGTGCTTCCTTACCTGACTGTTCAGTGGCAGATTTTGGGTTATCTTGTGCGGTTGCTTTTGCAAAAACACCAACTGTGGGCAAACTACTGTCCACCAGGCCAATAGCTTCATAGCCAACATCGGGGCCCAAATCACTCCTAAGGAAGGAGAGAGAAGAGGGTGTTGTGCTCTGTCAAGGGACTCTAAGGAACGACACAGTAGTACACGTACTCTAAGACACAGCACCTTTATACCAACGAAAGAACGAGAGAAATTCCAAACGCCTCTGTCTCCCATAGAGCAGCAAGGGACAATGTTGAGAAAGCAGAATTATCCCAAATAGCTTTTATTTTCCTTAAGAAGTTGTTATACACATCATATATCCATAAAATGAAGTAAATGTTTTTAACTGACTCATCCCTTTATCCCATACCACATTTGGGGGGTGGTAAGTTTCATACTTTTACTACCCACTACCTTCCTTTAACTTGTCCTTTTTGTCCTGAAACTGCCTTTTTGAAGCTTTAAAGAGTGTCCCATATTTATGGAATCCAGAATTTGAGGTGTTTTATGGTTTCATTAACTGACAGTATTTCCTCTTAGCCTTCATTTTTCAGGACTGCAATGCTTTCTTATAAAGAGGTAACTTCATCCACTTGGTCATTTTATGTTAACTGTTCTTCTTGGGAACTTTTCCTATCATCATCATGCCTTTCTTAATGTGCTAGGAATCTCACAGAATATTCTGGGCACAGACACAAATCCTGGTTTTGTAATAATCGAGGACACTTTAGCTGCTTTGTTTCTGGTGTCTACATTCTGTTATCTTCTTGGCCACAGTAGCTCACTGGACTAGTGTCTTCAGGGAACAGTCTACAATGACTCCTTGGATTCTGTTCCTGGGACCCAACTGATAATTGTTTAATTATGGACTATTTTTCCTAACTGCACTATCTTACACGAGTTGACCTTGAAATTCATCTGTTGTGCCCACTCATAAAACTGTGCATGATCTTCTTAAAATGTATTCCCGTCAGCTGAAAATTTCTCTACCAGGAACAGCTTAGAGGCTTCTGAAACCTTGAGATTTTTTTATGTAGCCCATCTTTCAAATCAACAAAATGAAAAAGAGGCAACTAGGGCCAGCCTCACTACTCAGGAATGTCCACTGCTGACCTTTCTTTATCCAAAGAACTGCCTCTATGTGCCTGACTCTGAAGTGCTGATCTTAAGGGTTACAGACGAATGGGCTGTCTTTTTTTCAGTATGTTGGGCTCATCAGGGATAGCAGCACAGAACAAAATAAAATACACTAGTGTCTATACCTGTGAGGACACTCTGGTGCCACCTACTGTAGGTCAGACTCTCAGTTATTTTTCCAGGAAGAGCTGATGCCATCTCCATTCATTCACCTGGTCTAACTCATGCCAAATATGGCACTTCACCAGATGCCCACTCAGGGTTAGAATGCACGGACAAGACGGAATTTTTTTTTCCCTCTGTATGAAGCTAACTGGCCCACAAGGAAACCAAACCGTAACCCTGTTCCTATTAATTCTGTGTTCCAACCAATCGAGTCCCCAAGGAACACAACTATTACCAGAACATTGACTGATGCCAGTACGGCTTGGCAGCGCCAGTCATATTTTCTCCAGCCAATCTTCCGCTCACAACGGCGTGATCATGGTGCTCTACCCGCCTCCTACCCAACTTTATATCGTAGAAGCACGCAGCATCTCCTGCCTTTGGAAACAAACACATAACATGAACACAAGATAAAAAAGCAAGTTAAAGAGACAACATAATTTTGGGGGGCTCAAAGAACCCTTGCAATGTTAACTAATTAACGTTTTCCATCTATAGTCTGAGGAGCCCTGGTGGTGCAGTGGGTAAAGTGCTTGGCTGCTAAACAAAAGGTAGGCGGTTTGAACCCACCAGCTGCTCCACAGGGGAAAGATGTGGCAGTCTGCTTCCTAAAGATTTACTGCCTTGGAAGTCCTATGGGGCAGTTCTACTTTGTCCTACAGGGTTGCTATGAGTTGGGATTAATTCGATGGCAGTGGGTTTGGTTTGGTTTGATCTACAGTCTAGAAAAATACCTAAACTATCAAAAACAGTTGATATTCCATTTTTTTAAATTTATTCTGTGCTTCCACAAAGCTAGCCTAAATTCTCTATGTTTCAGCTGAAGCCTATTTCTTCTCATTCTGCCCTTATCAGAGCTAGATCTTTCATAACCATGATTTGCAGAATAGTCTTTTCTATTACGTGAAGACCAGTTTTTAGATGGGACGGCCTCTCACCTATAAACCTTTTTCAAGATAAGTTTTTTTTTTGGTTATTCAGCATTCATTCATTCAACAAATATTTACTGAGTACTTATTATGGACAAAGCACTATGCTCTGGACTGCAGAGATGAACTGACATGGTCTTTGCCTATAAGGAATTCGTAACCCAGTAGAGAAAGATACAGTATTGTTCTTAACTACAAATGCAATGGAAAAAAAATTGTGCAATATAAGAGGTACAGATTACGTGAGCCAAGTGTTTCAAGCAGACAGCGGGAGAACCCCCAGGTTGGGGTGAACAGGGCCAGCTTCATGAAGGATGTGGTATTTGAGATCTCTAACCCTTTGCTCATCTTTGTGGCTATTCAAACACCCCCAAAGCAACCTAAAAATCCAACAAGCGAGCAATGGTATACTAAACTATGAAATCCACTTAATGGAGTATCATCCAATCATTAAACTGTTTGCAGAGTCTGAAGCAACATGGGAAATACTTACATTGTGATGTTAAGTTAAAAAAAAAGCAGAATACAAATGTTTATATATAGTATGCTCACCACAACCATGTAAAACAAAGGAGAAAACTTATGCACAAAAAACTGAAGGGAAGGAAATACACCAAAATATTCACAGTTGCTGCAGGTGGTTTTCTCCCTTTCTCTTTCTTGTCTGTGTCTTCTGTATTGAGCATGTATTACATTTACAACAGGTTAAAAAAATCCAGTACATTTTATCTTAAAAAAAAAAAAAACACTTTAAAGGAAAAAAATCTCCCCCAATGTTCCTATGTCTTTAGTTGCAGAGTCCATAATCAAACACAATACACTTGTAACAATCTAACAATGGGGGAAATTACCTCATGGTTCCTACATACTGTAGTCTTGTTTGTGTCATAATAGATTTTTAAAAACAACTAAAAATAGTACTAAAGGAAAATGAAAACAGAGTACTTTTCCTTTCTAGGGAATATGTTATGAAACTGCTTCATCCTCCATTCCCTGGACTCACGCTGGAGCAAAGGGAAAGGCAGAGCTGTCTGGATGCTGTGCGCAAGCCTGCCGGGGGTTAGGCTGATGGCTGCTGCCCACAGACTACAACCGGAAGGGCTCTACTCCTAGAGGCGCTCACACTGTTCACTTCATTTTCCACTAGCTTGCAGCCTGTGGCCATACCTGATCTTGTAAATCAAGCAGTTCACAGGTTTTTATTCTCTACCCTCAGCCTACAAACACTTTTCCCCTATTTGGTTAAGCTGTGGATAAGCTTTAGCACACCACTGGGCAGACTTGTTCACACTTACCACCCAGATGTTAGAGCGTGCTTGTAGCTCTGCATTTACCCGGAAGCCACCAAAATCTGAGTCTATTTCCAGCCCACCAGTCTTGGCCAATTCAACATTGGGCTCCAGGCCCACAGCTGCTACTATGTGGTCAGTTTCTACCTGGGAGAAAAAAGAAATAATTCAGTCAATCACCACAATTTCCACTTACATCTGTGGACATAACAATTGCACATCACATTATTAAGAATCAGGGCTTAAAAAATTATTGGTTAATTTACCTCTGGTAAACAGATTTTACATTCTATTTCATACAGGTCCCCCCTCCGCACACACATACCCCATATCATCCGAAGAGAAATCTGCCACCCAAGTAAGAACTTACAAATCTGTGCCACAGATAGGAAGGGGCCAAGGGAAAGTGGTTTACATGTGACTACTCAGACTCTAGTCATTCTCTATTTTAATGGAGGGACAGTTAACTCTGAAAACTATGACAGGTTAATGATGGCTGCCAAGAAAAGTAATCTACTGGTATCAAATGAAGGAGAAAGAATGAAGACAGGGGAGAGAAGGCCTGGAAGGTCTCCTGGCAGCCTCTCTCCCCCTCCTTACCTTCCTGCCGTCCTTCAGCTTGATAAGTAACTTGCCACCGCTGACTCCAACTGATTGCACAATCGCATTGGGCATCACCTTAACCCCCTCTGTAAAGGTAAACAAGACCTGAGGCTGAGCCTGTCAGCCTATCATCTTCGTGGAAAGTAGGGCCACTGACAAGAGGCATCCCATTGTAAAACCAAGAACCATCAGTACGCAGGCAGCCTTGGAGAGCTGTAAGAACCTAAACCACAGTTCATTTTTAGCACTTCAGAGAATTCAGTGCCTCTGATTCAGAACCCCTACATAAACTTGGCTGACTAGAGAATGGTGGAAACATTTGTTTGGCTGGGTGATACAGCTTATGTAAAGAAGCAAACTTTGCTTTAGGCCTAACTCAGAGGAAAGAGAGTGGCATCCTATGAAAAAGTCTCTCTACCTCGTCTGACTTTTTCCATGGTCCAGTTGCTGAGGTATTCAGGGAGGATCTTTCCCATGTTTCCTTTCTCGGGGAAGAGTTGAATCACTTCTGTGCCGAAGGCTTGAGCTGCAAAGAAGAAACAGAGTGGGTATAGCAAGAGGCAAAAGCCAAACCTAGGAAGACAGGACGAGAAGTCAAGGAGAAGTCTGCAGCCATTGACTAAACACAGGGCAAAGCTGCAATCCTGGCTGGAGCTCCCATTTGCGGGGCACTGGGGCAGAATGCCTTGGTGCTAGAGTTCATTCGTAAGGCAAATACAACAAGTGCCAAAACTGCTGTCCCTGGATTAGACTACAGACTGTGAACTCAGTGTACTTACACCCATGCGATCATTTCAGGCTTACGCAAGTGCTTTGCGATCTCTGAATAGTAAGAGATTTGAGAAGATGCCCTGGTTTCACAGAGCTGAAAAATACCATTAAGAAAAATGGTTGCCAATAGTTTAGCTTAATCAATAAAGAATGTCTGCCCTTTACTGAAGAAGAACGAAGTGGGAGGCCTCATACTACCTGATTTTAGAACCTATTATACCGCTAAGGTAGTCAAAACAACCTGGTACTGGTACAACAACAGATACATACACATAGACCGGTGGAACAGAATTGAGAATCCAGACGTAAATTCATCCACCTATGAGCAGCTGATATTTGACAAAGGCCCAAAGTCCGTTAACTGGGGAAAAGACAGTCTCTTTAACAAATAGTGCTGGCATAACTGGATATCCATCTGCAAAATACTGAAACAAGACCCACACCTCACACCATGCACAAAAACTAACTCAAAATGGATCAAAGACCTAAATATAAAATCTAAAAGGATAAAGATCATGGAAGACAAAATAGGGACAACGCTAGGAGCCCTAATACATGGCATAAACACAATATGAACCGTAAGTAACAAAGCACAAGCACCAGAAGAGAGACTAGATAAACGGGAGCTCCTAAAAATCAAACACTTATGCTCATCAAAAGACTTCACCAAAAGAGTTAAAAGACAACCTACAGACTGGGAAAAAAATTTTGGCTACGACAAATCGGATCAGCATATAATCTCTAAAATCTACAAGATACTGCAAAACCTCAACAACAAAAAGGCAAATAACCCAGTTTAAAAATGGGCAAAGGATATGAACAGGCACTTCACCGAAGAAGATATTCAGGCGGCTAAGAGACACGTGAAGAAACGCTCACGATCATTAGCCATTAGAGAAACGCAGATCAAAACTACAATATCATCTCACCCCAACAAGGCTAGTTTATCCAAAAAACACAAAACAATAAATGTTGGAGAGGTCGTGGAGAGACTGGAACACTTATACACTGTTGGTGGGAATGTAAAATGGTACAACCACTTTGGAAATCGATTTGGCGCTTCCTTAAAAAGCTAGAAATAGAAGTACCATACAATCCAGCTATCCCGCTCCTTGGAATATGTCCTAGAGAAATAAGAGCCATCACACGAAGAGATATATGCACAACCATGTTCACTGCAGCACTGTTCACAACAGCAAAAAATGGAAACAACCTAGGTGCCCATCAATGGACAAATGGATAAATTATGGTACAGTCACACAATGGAATACTACACAATGATAAAGAACAATGATGAATCCGTGAAACATCTTATAACATGGAGGAATCTGGAAGGCATTATGCTGAGTGAATTTAGTCAGTTGCAAAAGGATAAATATTGTATAAGACCACTATTATAAGAACTCAAGAAAAGGTTTAAACACAGAAGAAAACATTCTTTGATGGTGACGAGGGTGGGAAGGGAGGGTGAGGGTTATTCACTAACTAGACAGTAGACAAGCATTATCTTAGGTGACGGGAAGGACAGCACACACTACAGGGGAAGTCAGCACAACTGGACTAAACCAAAGCTAAGAAGTTTCCTGAATACAAACACTTTGAGGGACAGAGCAGCAGGGGTGGGGGGCTGGGGACCATGCTTTCAGGGGACATCTAGGTCAACTGGCATAACAAAGCTTATTAAGAAAAACTTCTGAATCCTACTTTGGTGAGTGGCGTCTGAGGTCTTAAAAGCTTGCAAGTGGCCATCTAAGATGCATCAATTGGTCCCAACCACTTGTAGTAAAGGAGAACGAAGAACACCGAAGACACAAGGGAAGTATTGGCCCAAGAGACAGAATGGGCCACATAAACCAGAGACTTCATCAGCCTGAGACCAGAAGAAATAGATGGTGCCCAGCTACCACCAATGAATGTCCTGACAGGGAACACAACAGAGGGTCCCTGATGGAGCAATAGAATAATGGGATGCAGAACTCAAATACTAGTAAGAAGACCAGACTTAATGGTCTGACTAAGACTGGAGGCACCCCGGAATGCATGGCCCCTGGTCTCTCCATCACCCCAGAACTAAAACAATTTCCAAGGCCAACTCTTCAGACAGGGATTGAACTGGACTGTGGGACATAAAGTGATACTTGTGAAGAATGTGCCTCTTAGAAAAGTAGATATAAGAGACCAAAGGGGTGGCTTCTGTCCAGAGGTTAGAGGGAAAGGCAGAGAGAGTTAGGAGCTGGTTGAATGTTCATGGGGAATGAGGGGCGGAGGGGAGGAGTGTGCTGTCGCAGAATGGGGTGAGCGGTTTGGGTCTCATAACAATGTATGTTAAAAAAAAATTCTGTATGGGAGACTAACTTGAAACGTAAACTTCATTTAATTACATCAATAAAAAAAAAAAAGCTCGCAAGCAGCCATCTAAGATACATCAATTGGTCCCAACCACCTGGAGTAAAGGAGAATGAAGGACACCAAGGACACAAGGAAAGTAGTAGCCCAAGAGACAGAAAGGGCTACATAAACCAGAGACTTCATCAGCTTGAGCCCAGAAGAACTAGATGGTGCCTGGCTACCACCAATGATGGCCCTGACAGGGAACACAACAGAGTCCCTGATGGAGCGGGGGAAGGGTAGGATGCAGAACTCAAATTCTAGTAAAAAGATCAGACTTAACGGTCTGACTGAGACTGGAGGAACCCCAGAAAGCATGGCCCCCGGACTCTCTGTCAACTCAGAACTAAAATAATTCCCGAGGCCAACTCTTCAGACAAAGATTAGACTGGACTATGGGACATGAAATGATACTCGTGAAGAGTGTGCTTCTTAGCTCAAGTAGATACATGAGACTAAATGGGCAGCTCCTGTCTGGAGGTGAGATGAGAAGGCAGAGAGGGTCAGGAGCTGGCTGAATGGACATGGGAAATCAGGGGTGGAAAGAAGGAGTGTGCTGTCACAGTACAGGGAGAGCAATTAGGGTCACATAACAATGTATGTACAAATTTGTGTATGAGAAACTCACTTAAAATGTAAACTCTCACTTAAAGTACAACAATAAAAAAAAAAAAAAGAATGCCTGCCCTGAGCCTTGTGGATCTCTTAAAGAACTATCTACATGGGATCAAATCAACAATAGCAACTTGAAAGATTAGGTAAGAAGCTTAGGGGGCAGTAAGTTTATGTTAATGGGGGAGGAACAACTCAGAAAAGGAGGGTGACAATGACTGAATAACTTGAAGAAGGTAAACAATGTCACTGAATTGTACATGTAGAAAAACTGTTGCATTGGTTTATGTTCTGCTGTGTATATTTTTAACAACAACAACAAAATAAATTACTTAAAAAAATGGCTGCTACAAAAACAGTCAAACTTGAACTCACAGGTCTGTCAAGGTGAGAACCATTATGTATCTGAAGGAAGTTTTGAACTTCTTACAGGGAGCAACAGTTAAAAGATAATACACTTTTCTGTAGTCTATAGTGCCTTTACCATCTTAATAAGTCACTTAATATTTTATTTCTAAGGAGCCCTGTCCTAGAGGCTAGAAGGAAGGAAGAAGGCACCCCTGCCAAGTTGCTCAGCTGACAGCTTTTCAGTCACCAAGGGATCCCACACTGGAACTAATTTCAGTGCTTAGCATTTCACTATATCAACCTTAATCAAACGCTTTCTATGGATCTTGGGAAATCCATCTCTGGAAATTTGTGAGAGCCCACCAAAAAGTATGTGATATAAGACTAGAGACAGACAACAGAAGTTGCTCCCCATACTCACCCTTTCTGCCAAGAGCACAGGCCAGTTCGCTACCGAGGAAGCCCCCGCCAATAATCGTAATCGACTTGACTTCTCGTGAGATCTTCTCCAAGGTTCTAAAGTCTCCAATCTGCAGGATCACACCAGTTTAGCCCAATGATCTCCCAAAGAGGCATAGGATAATAATCCCAGGAAATATCTTCCTCTAAATCTTCGACAACAGTAATTTGCAGATAAAATCTCCTCCTTGTATAAAGTGGCTCGATTATAGTCTCTACATTATTAATGTCAGTTTCTTTCTCCATTGTTATTTGTAACATCCCTTCTCTTAACAGTGCTTCTCAACTGGTGGTGGTTTTGTGTCCCCACTTCCCCCCGCCTTTCTGCCCAGGGGACATTTGTCAATGTTTGGAGACATTTTGGGTTGTCATGATGGCGGTGGGGGTGGGATGGGTAGTGCTACTGGCATCTAGTGGGTAGAGGCCAGGGATGCTGCTAAATATCCTACAATGCACAGGGCAGCCCCCACAACAAAGAATTATCTGACCCAAAACGTCGATAGTACCAAGGTTGAGAAATCCAGTTCTATCAAGAACAAATCTTATCAAACACCCACAACAGTGGCTGGAGAATTACAGCAGTTTTGTTTTGTAAGCAAAGCATGGTGTTAAGATGCAAAGCCCCGCTTCCCTTTTCACTTAGGTACCCTAACTTTTCTCCCCAAAGTCTCCACAATAGCACTTGCAATGAAAAATGCCAAGAGGCTATAAGGAATGCCAATGAATCAAATGCATCAGGAACAAATGATGGAACGGCAATCGGAAGGAACCATATTGAGCAATAAAAACACTAGATGTATTTTTCGCCAAGGAGCTTAAAACCCTTGAGTGAGGTATCTGAGGTGCAGAGAGAGGAAGTGACTTGCTCAAGGCCAGAGAACAAGTCTGTAGGACAGCCATAAATAGAACTTGAATCTCCCAAATCCCAGGTGGGTATTTGGGGACCACAAGATTATACTACCTCCTCAAAAACAACACAGCAAAAGCACTAAAGCAGACAATTACCTTTCTGAACAGTGTTGTTCTATTCTTCACCTCTGCTCCAGCCCTATCAATGGCAGACAGACTTCTTGGAGTGCCTCCTGGAATTAAGAGGAGGAAAAACCTTTAGCCCAATGAGCAGAAGCTGGCCCAAACAATCACCCGACAGAGGTGGAGCTGCCTTCATCTAGGGCTCGGTGTGTGCTCCCTGCTAGTGCCACTGCAGCATCAACAGGATGTGACGGCTTTGTTTCCCTTCTCCTCGCTGCTGCAGAGCAGGCTTTTATCAATTTCCTTTGAGAGGCAGATCTGAGAGTCTCTTCCAGGGGCCCCATCCTTCCCATAGATAGCCAACAGGCCTCATTTCTAGTTTCTCTTGAGCACTGACCAGGTATCACAGCTCTGTTTAAGAAACTGCTTTAGTCTCCTAGGATTCTCTGGGTGGCACAAATGGTTAAGCACTCAGCTAGTAACTGAAAGGTTGGTGGTTCAAACTTACCCAGAGGCACCTTGGAAGAAAGGCCTGGCAATCTACTTGCAAAAGAACTAGCCATTGAAAACCCTACAGAGCACAGTTCTACTCTTAACACACATGGGGTCGCCATGAGTCAGAATCAACTCAACAGTAACTGTTCTATTGTTTAAGTCTCCTATCCTGATTAAAACTGGCAATGAAGCCATAGGCTATATCACTTTCAGGGCACAGGGCTAAGTAGGGAGAGAAAAAAGGCAACCTTCTTCAGCATACATCCATGCCTTCACTGGAAGGAACAGCAAGGATAAGCCAGAAGGGCTGTTGATCTGGGACAGAATCTGTAGTTAGCCAGGCTTTGTAGCGAGAGAAGATACCCACGTCAGAGTCTGGGCTTCGGTTTTCTTATGGTTAAGTAATACCTTCTATAGAGAAAGTCTGACTCTAAAACATGAAGGAGCTGTATCAGGGAAGAAAGCCATTTCCAGAAATGCTCACCTGTTGCAATCAAGCACTTTTCATAGGTTATTTGAGAGCCATCATTGAGTTTCACCATGTTGCCTCTCACATCCAGCTGTACCACCTGGTGAAGTCATACCAAAAAAGAGAGATGAGCTGGTTTTTAAAAAAATAATCTTTACTGAGCTATAATTCACACAACATAAAATTCATCAATTTAAAGGGTACAATTTGGTGATTTTTAGTATATTCACTATGTTGTGTAACCATCACCACTATCTAATTCCAGGGCATATTCATTTCCTCAGAAAGAAACCTTGTACCCATGAGCAATCACTCCCCACGTTCCCCCAACCCCTAGGCCTCAGTTTTGAAGAGACATTTGCTTATGGGAGTGTTTTGGACACAAACTACCCCCATTCACTGAAGACTTGGAACCTGGCTCATACTTTTGCTCTGAGCCACACTGTGAGGTTAAGATCGTGTGTCAACTTGGCTGGACCATGATTCTGTGTTTTAATGTGATCACTCCCATGACTGAATATACTGTGAGTAGCCAATCAGATGAAAGGGAGTCTCCTTGGGGGTGTGGCCTGCATCTGAATATAAGCAGACATTCTGGCTTTTTGCTCTCTGGATCCTGCGGCTGCTTCCTGTCGTCTCATCTCCCATTCTTGGGACTTGAGCTGTCAGCTTATCTGCCGAACTTGGGATTTGTCGATCTTCACAGCCTGTGAGCGGAGCCCTGCTCTCTGACCTGCCGATCTTGGGTTCACCAGCCCCTATAGCTACGTGAATCAGGAGAAACCCTGTGGTCTTGCCGGCCGATCTTGGAATTCATCAACCTTCACGGCCTGTGAGTGGGAGCCCTGCTCTCCAACCTGCCGATCTTGGGCTCGCCAGCTTCTGTGGCTGCATGACTTGGGAGAGGCCTCTACCCTGATCCACAGATTTGGGATGTTCTAGCCTCTACAATCGCATGAGCTGCTTCCTTGATATAAATCTCTCTCTATATATATATTTATACTTTACTGGTTTGGGTTCTCTATAGAGAACCCAGCCTAAGACACACACCTAGAATCTTATGTCCTAAAATGCTACTTCTAAAACCTCAAATATCCCACTGTCTCAGTCATCTAGTGCTGCTCTAACAGAAGTACCACAAGTGGATGGTTTTAACAGAGAGAAATTTATTGTCTTCACAGTCCAGTAGGCTACAAGTCCAAATTCAGGGCATCAGCTCCAGGGGAACGCTTTCTCCATCGGCTCTGGAGGAAAGTCCATGTCATCAGCCTTCC